ACTTTCTCCTAGTTCGTAGGTTGTCTTTTCATTTTGTTTATGGTTTCCTTTGCTGTGCAAAAGCTTGATTGGTTATTTTCTAATCTGGGATGAATGTCTAGAAGTTCTATGGGATCAAGACATAGAAGTCAGAAGTCATGAGTATCAAATTGGTGTGTAACCCAAGTTTGAGTGTATAGCTAAAACATCACTTGAAGATGAAGACTCCAGAGGACCGCAGCACACTACAAAAATGGGCCAAAGTGAATGTGAAAATATTCCATGGCAGAAACCAAGCCACGGAACAGAGATCCTAAATCAAATACTTCAGGCTGAGAAAGGTAACAGTCCTCCTGCCTGGAGTGCCTTTATCTTTGCCGAGGTGAGGCTGAAGAACTGGTAAAGAAATGGTGCAGACCCGGTCTGAGAGGGAAAAGAACCACCAGCCCTCCATTACCACACCACACCCCCAGCATGCAGTCACGTGTCCTTCCTGAAAGAGGCTCCAATTCTGTGACCTAACTAGTTTCCACCTTGCTTCTCTTAGTGCATTGCTATTAGAATTTTTTTGTGTTTGGTGTAAGGTTTTGTTGGTCCTTTTCCAAGTATCAATCAAAACTGCATGTCAGCCTCCACTCCTTGGAAATAATTAAATGAAATGACACGCCTGATTTTTCGGCTGATAATGCACTGTTATTTGCATCTGTTAAAGGGCTTTATCTTTTAAGTCCTGAGGCTGAGACATCTGGGACAACTCAGGTGACTTTTGCTCTGCTTTGGCCCATGTGGATGGTGCACGGTAGCGAAACACAGAGGTGGACTAAGTGCTTCATTCTGCGACATAGTCCCTTAAGGAAACTGCTCTTTGTGATGCGAACGTGTTCACCTTTTGTTCATAAATTCAACACGAAGGCCCCTTTTGCTTTATACTGGCAAAATTCCGTTCATCTTGCTGTTTCCTAGGTTTTCTACAGACCTCACGAGCAAATTATCTGTGGTTTAAGGATAGATTTTTAGATTAAAGTCCCTATTGGGTAAAGCGGGAGTGTCGAAAATAGCCTTGATCTTAATACCCAAGCGAAGCACCTTCTAGCACAACTCTTGCTGCTGTTTAGCAGTTACAGTAGCGTAATCTGTGACTTCCATGCAGACATGTATCAAAGGCTGTGTGGGATATTAAAAATAAAATGAAACCTCCTTCTTCCTAAGAGTGGAATTCCCTCCGAGCACAGAACCCGCTAGGGAAGGGCTGGTATTTGCATGCGGTGAAGCTCTAGGCTGGGGGTGTGGGATGCGGTGTTCCTGAAGCGACTGATGAGGGATTCTGGCCGTGTGGGAAGTGAACTGCGGAATTCCCCACCTTGATTCCAGAGAGGGCTCAGAAGGAAACAGATTAAGATGCAGAGCGCTGCCCTGGAGGCGGAGGGCGAGGGGGCGAGCCGAGGACACTAACCCCAGGGCGCTTCAAGAAGCTCCGTGGGGACCGAATTCTTAGGTTCCTTCCGCCTCGCCTTCCCAGTCACCCACCCCAGCCCAAGGCCAACCCTGAAGGGCAGGCAGTTCCCTCGGGGCAGTGAATGCAGGGAGCCCACCGTGAGCCCGCCACTCCCTGGGTTCTACGTCTGCAGGTGGTTGGAGAGGCGCAGATCCAGAACCGCACGAGCCAGACCGGGGTCCAAAGCTCGCCCTCTGCGGGCCCGCCGGCCGCAGAGCGCAGTCCGCGGGCGCGGCGCGCGCCGGCC